CCCCCCCACTTCACTTTAGTTGATCACCCCTCACCCGCTTTAGTCAGTTTTATCTATAAGGAACACTTTCTTTATATATTTCCTGAAAATATTTTGGAAAATATGAAATATGCCAAAAGGCTGCTCATAGACTCCAAGTCCCTTATGACCCTGCACAGTAATAAGATGGATGGATGGATGGAACACTGCACTGTCACTTGGGAGGTCTTTACGGAAAATCACGCCAATAGAAAACAACTTAATCAATCAATTTAGAGGAGCACTTCACTCTGGCTTGCCCCGAATGATTCAGTCCAGCGCAGACCTGGTGATGGATCATGTTTGTGAATATCTGAGCTGTTCTTGCAGCCTAGGCGGACCATGTGCGTGTAACATACAGTTACCATATAAAGGAACAGCTTGGTAAGGAACAGCAAAGCAATCGCATGGACTTCAAAAATGAGGCATTGAGTGGCAGAGTATTGATACTTCAAGTGATCTTTGTCCCTGACATTTGAACAAATCCCCCCCACGACTCACCACACTTCCCTCCTCTCACTGCCTCTTGATTTTTTTGTTCACTTCCCCGTATATCAGCACTGAATCCGCACCCCCCGGCTAGGCTCGACCACGGTGCCCGCACAGATCCAAAGATAACACGTTTGTCTAAGGCCGCGGCCAAAGGAAAAATATTTTGACTCTCCCAAATTGAAATATTACAAACAACCTTTTTATGGTGGCAAAAGATATGAAGAGATCAGCAATAACAAGCCGGGGTGTTGAAACAACGTGGGTTTGTGCCCCAGAGCCCGAGATGAGGTGCAGATGCACTTGACCCATGGATTAATTATTTGTAAAAGGACCGTCTCCGAAAAAACATCACTGACAGCTTATATTATGGTCTGAGGAACGCGTTTCCCTCCATAATTCAGCCTTTGAGCAGCGGTTTTCGCGAGGAACACGCGAATGGGGCAGGAAGCCGAGCAGCTAGGCGAGGCTTGCTAGGTGTATGCAGACATGCACACTGGCTGCCGAGGGGGTCAACGAGCCTTGGGTGCATGACACCAAAAAAACACAAGGAAAATTAAAAACAGGGAGACGAGACTCGGCTCCAGGGGAGACCCTCCTTACCCAGGCATCTGCCTCCGGCGGCTCTGAATCCCGCTCCGCAATCCTGGCACTGGAAGGAGCCCGGTGTGTTGATGCACTTCCCGCTAGGACAGGCGCTGGGGTTTCTGCACTCGTCCACGTCTGGCCAGAGGGGGCAGCGGTGGGGGCAGCCGAGGGAGGGGAAATTCCATTACAGCAAGCACTAGCTGAAATAATATTATATTAACTAGGCTCACATTAGCCTTCCATGCTCAGGGCTGCCTCTTTTCCAGTTGGTTCCGTGTTTGTTCTCCCCCTCTGGTGAGAGCCCCGGGGGAAATTAAAACAAAGGCTTTTCTGTGGCTGGGCAGCCAGTCAAACTCTGGGTATTTGTGGCTTACAAATACCAGAGTTTAATGGCTTCGCATGCTAAACGCGCAACACGGAGGCCCGACGCACCCTCGCACTGCCCCCTCCTGGACAGGGCATAGCCGGTGTCGCACTCGCAGGCGTAGGAGCCCTCAGTGTTGACGCAGCGGCCTCCCGGACATCTGTCCGGCATGTCGCACTCGTTTACGTCTGCGGAGGGAGTCAAAAACAAGGAGGAGAGTCAGGGGCCGCCGGCCCCGCAATACGACGGCGTCGGGGGATTTCCGAAGGCTTCATACACATGGTGCAGGGAGAGACTCGCTCTTGGCAAAGACTAGCAAGATTTTTGGCTTTGAGGGTCTTTTATAACAAAACAAACCAGCACACCTGGAATCTTGGGATAATCAACCATGGCGTCATGGACAGAGTGTGACTGAAAGGCTGTCAGTTCTAAGAACCACCAAAGTATGCAGCTGTATAATTATTCAACATTATTGTACGATGCTGTTACATCAAGCCTCTCAGGAAAGGAACGCACCTATGGCATGCAGCACGGCAGCCTGACAGAGGACATGGCAAATTACAGAGAACTACATTACCCAGCACCCCCTGTACCTCTTACCTTGACAGAACTTCCTGTTTTGGGTGATGACCTGACTGTAGCCCGTGTAACAGTGGCAGATGTATGAGCCGTAGCTGTTCACGCAGCGTCCTTTGCCTTCGCAGGGGTCGTTCTTGCACTCGTCCACATCTGCAGACAGAACGGGGCGTGCATTATGTATCAGTTGGGAGAACTCCCTGCTCTCCAACCTGCTAAACCATTCTGGAAAGCCAGAATCATGTTTCGAATAACAGAGCTTGGATACAGGACTGAAGGAGTGAGGTCATGTGATCTAAGTCTCACATGAGAACTTTGGAACACTGTGGAGGTCGGTCTCATGTAGGGATCAGTCTCACGGCACTTACGGAATACCCTACATCCATGCATTGCAAGAAACACAAGGCATTAAAAACTCTGCAAGCCAAGTCTCCCCCCCTTGCTCACCGATGCAACGAGTCTGCAGCGGGTTCAGCTGGTAGCCAGGGTGGCAGTAGCAGGTATAGCCTGTCTGTACGGGGACACACTGCCCAGGTCCGCAGATGGTTGGCGTGATGGAGCACCTGTCCACATCTGGGAGGGGATGAAAGGTGACGCAGGTGAGGACAGAAGTTGTGTGTATATTGTCATCATCTTATGGTCCTTTAACTGAGGCTGTGCTGGTTCTAAATTTCCACTTGTTCCTTCATAGCCCGCAGAGACCACTCCCTCTGATCACAAAACCCTTATAAAACCAAGAAGAGTTTGACCAAAGAGATCTGTCCCACCGAAACAAGTGGACACAGGTTTTCGTGTCAAATAAGTGCAAGCAAGAGTTGTTATAAGACACTGAGGGCTGGAAGCAAGTTTAATATGAGTTTTGATTAGTTCTGGCTCAATCCTAGGCGCCCTTGTGTGTCTTAGCAGAGAGTGAAGCGCAGAGGATGCGGAAACTAATGTTAGTGTGTCAAACGCGATCGGTGTCAGCGTTCCCTTACCGGTGACCTGAGTGGCCACGTTGATGGGTGCGGTGTCCCGGCCCTCTGTTTCAGGTCTCACGTTGACCAGTGAGTGAAGGGTGGTCTTCTCCACTACATCTACTGGAGAAGCAGCAAGCCTCACTGACACACCAAGTCAGCATCGTACCAGCCCACTTGGACACCCCAACCCCATGGGAATTCATTATTCGGTCCTCTAACAGCAGTGAGGACAAGACATAACGAAACTATATTTCTTTGAAGTGTTTCATAAACACAAAAAAGCAACAATAAATCAGTGAGGTAAACAAATCTTGAGAATGACGGTTTATAAGCCTTGTTTTACAAGGCACTGAGGCTGCCATAATACGATAAACGTTGACAGGCCTAGCTAGCATAACGTAATATGTGCACCTTCTCGGAGGTTGCAGTGTAAAGTATTAGAGATGGAACTACTACGGCCAGGAAAATGTTACCTGGATAGCTCGGCGACTCGGTGACAGTGGCGGCCTAACAAAACAAAACGGCAAAACGGTTACTACTGTGGCACATGTGCTTCTGACAGACGTTCCACTTTTAACTGTGCCGCTGAGAAAAAAGAGAGCATGTTGTCTATTTTAATAACCCCAGCAACCACGCTGGGAGCGCCGGGGTAACAGGCAGGCCCCCTTCACCCATCAGGCCTTCGAGCAAATCCGATGAAAACCTTAACAAGCCCTCAGTGCAACGATGTCAAGATGTGAAAAAAAAATGCACTTACTGGATTCAGAATCGCAACATCTGCAAGGACACAATAAAAAAAGAGAGAGAATGTTATTTGGTCACCAGAGGACACAGACATTCCTGTTTCTGTGACAATACTCCTGAGGCCTGATGTCACCGGGCGTCACTCGGATGTGACCTAGGACTGAGCCGCGGCTCCCTGGAAGAATGGAAGCCCGACGCGAACGGATATATCTGAAGGTTGTTGTTTCCAATAAAACTCAGCTAATTGCATGTTTATCCTTTAAGCCTTGAAAGCGGAATTAAGGTCTGAACTTTCCCCACACCACATGAAAATATGTACGTAGTTGTGGGGTGGCAGGGCCGGGGGGGGGGGGTCAGTTTCAGATAAAGAAAATGTAAGCATAAATATTTACAAAGCCACTATATAAATCATTTATCTTCGCCGATGCCAATGTATTACGTCATGCATGTAAATCATAAGAATGTTTCGGCGAAAATCCGGGGTTGCAGATGTTTTTGAACTTTCTGGATTAGACTCTGCCGTGGAGTCGGCCGCACTTTCAGGACGCGCAATGATTTATATCGGCGGACATTTATGTGACGTTTTGGTATTAATAAATAATTACATTTCTGAAGCACGAGTCAAAATGTTTTACTTTTTTATTTTTTTTTTTGCATTTCAGTCTCTCCATCAATATCCGTCTACTTACGATCCCTGCATAGAACTTAGAGAGAGTCATCTCTCTGAAGATTAAATCAGGGCCCTGACTCACCAGCTAATCACACAACGGGTATAAACTGCGGCCTCGGTCTGAGCCTGCTGTCAGGTTGACACACCGCAGCTAAACTGCGCCCAGACTTTGACTGGGATCCACATTCCAGGTCTGGAGCGGGAAGGGGAGACTCCGCCCTCGCTTACCTCCATCTTCTCGGCCGGGCAGCTTGGCCTGGATGTGGACGTCAGTGGTTGGGTGTAGGTGCTGATGAGGAGGATGAGGATGATGGTAGCGAGGAGGATGGGGGCGGGGCTGGTGGGATGGGCCGGTCCGATGCAGGTCATCCTCCTCCATCTGTCGCAGGGAGATCTGGATGTCTGACCGGGAGTAGGTGTAGCCGTGGCCAGCAGGGCAGATCTCTTTAAAATGGTCTGTAGGCAAGGAAAGCAAAGAGTCCGAGGGGGAAGAAATAATCTCAAAGACCTGCCAGAGCTCAGCTGTCTGGTTTCTCGCAGCAACGCCGTTTGCCCACCCGCGTCAGACATTATGCGCCACATTCATGCGCAATTCATCCTTGATTACCGGGCCGCATGTGTCAGCTGTCTCCATGGCTTTTTTGACGGTCGCACAGGAAGGGGCAAGGGAGGAAGCACGTGGTGAACTGGCTCTTTCCTTTCGCACCCGGAGCTGAGCCACGGGAAGGGTTGACTCAGGCAGGTCTGGCACTCCTCCATCACGCAAAAGCCACAGACTAAACCCTGCATTACGCACTAGAGGCACACAGAGACCTCCAGGGCCGAGAGGAGGAGACTACCCAGTGCGTGGCCCTGGAGCGAGGGGGTTTCTCAAATATTTACATTGGATGAGCGCATCGTAATAAATCAACTGTGACATCACTGCGTTTGAGCCCAATAGGATGCAGTTGAGGGAAAATGCAGCACAGCCTCCTTCTGGCGTAAAACTATAATGTTTCCGATAAACATCAAGCTGAAAGATGATGGGCGACGGCCAGAGAAGAGCACAGTCCCTGTCCTGATGGCCGCCAGTCGCCTCAGAATCGGTGGAGTCGTGGGACATCCCTTAATCGGCAGCTGTTCAGTTGCCCCCAAGGTGGAACAATCATTGGCCACAAGATGAGGTTCAAAGTGCTTTGTGATTTATAGAACTTCAGCTTTCCAGAAACGACCTGAGAGACAAAATGGGCTCTTTCCACAGGCTTTGAGGATAAGATCAGCAAGATTCCAGAGATCCAAGCTTTCTGTGTTTCTTTTGGCTATTTTTTATGTAATTTTGTTTTTCTTTTAGCTGGGCCTTTGCTGGTAACTGTCTCTATGGCCTAGTCTGAGGACAAGAGTGGTCTATCTCTCGTAATGGGACATCTGATGAGGAGGGTTGTTTTATTTTGGTCTCATTCCACCTCAAATATATTTGATCATCTGTGAAGAGTTTTACGAAACTTAAGTAGGCTTCGCAGCCAAAATAATGATGACCATTAGAACATAACGTGATTGAATCAGAATGCGAGCATTAATGTGATTGATTTCAGGATGCAAAGAACAGACAGAGGAGGAGGTCAAAGTTACACCCAAAGTGACCTTGTGAGCTGAGTGAGCGCTCTGTTGGCTCTCCAAAGTGTAACATTGAGAATATGCCGGAGATCGCGGTACAGATGGGAGAACTTCAGTCTGTCAAAACATCAGCACCTGCTGTCAGCATAATGAGCTGTCCCACTCCCCCCGGGGAGGGCGCTACCCTGCCCCCTTCCACCTCAGGGAGGGGCACTTCCAGGGAAAACGGGCGCTGAACTGTCTGCCATCCCAACTTTTATACATGGATGCTGAACAGGGTGGGGTGGGGCAAGCGGCGCATGCTTTGTGTCTGAGTGCCAAAACTGCATGCACCGCTGCTTCAAATCCCTGGAGACATCTTGAAAAGTGCCCGAGTTAGAATGGCAGCACTGCGTGACACAGGATGACCATGGCAACCCGCGTGCGTTGCACCCGGCGATGGCGGCGGGGCGTACCTGTGTCAGGCAGGGGGCAGAGCTCGCAGGCCGCACCCCAGGCCTTGCCCACGCGGCTGCAGCAGCAGATCTGCTTGGTGATGTGCTGTGACAGGGGCAGCGAGCAGGAGTCCAACGCTGCGGAGCGGTAGCACAGATCCCGCATCTCTGAGACGGCCTTGTCCGCTGGGGGGTGGGGGGTGGGGGGGAAAGTAAAGGGGGGAGGTTAGGACTCGCTTTGATCAGCTAGTTCCACTGATGAGAACCTCACGCGCTTGCATGGATGACAGGGTAAGTGCATGTGCAATTGCGCAAATGGTACACAGTACGTGTAACACCATACACAACGTGTTTAATATCCTCCTGAGACCCAAGGAAAAAAGTGTCCTTCAGTTTTAGGTTAATTGTGATTTTCTATGTCTTTGGAGGAAATAAGGCATCTTTTTTCAAATTTATTTTTATTTTTCATTTCACAGCATGTCCTCTTTAGTGTACAACAGGAATAAATATGTTTCCTTACATGAGTGAAAAGATAGATGCAAAAAGTAAATGTCCACTGCAATGGACATAAATGAACGGGTGGGGTCTCAGGAGGATATATAATAGTCTACACAATTACATTTATGTGTGCATCTGTTATCGAACAATGAGGGAAAAAAGGACAAACAATAGGGAAAAGCGGTTCGCCCTTGAAAAAAATTCCACTTTGGGACATCCTCACAAGAGGAAAAGCAAGTGAGAGTGCTGATGAATTTTCATCCATTCAGGAGGATGTTAATTTCAGTGAAAGCAGCAGTAAGACCTGCATAAAGACTGTATGAGGCTGTGGTTGTGAGTGGGTGTGTGTCTGTATGCACCAACAGTATCGAATGAAATCAAAATTCGTTAGAGCACAATTACAACAACAAAGGTCAATCAAAGTGCTGTACAAAACCGAATGAAACAAACTAAGACATATAGGAATAAGAAGAAAAAGACAATAAAAGCTGTAAATTGACTGGCAGGAAACTCACAGACACAATGGCTGCGCGCTGCGTCCAGCATGTAACCCCCCTTGCACGTGCACCTGTAGCTGCCCTTGGTGTTCAGGCACTCGGCGTTCTTGCAGATCCCCGCCATCGTACACTCGTTAATATCTGCGGAGTGAGCACAGGGCACTGGTTAGTATCTGCAGGAGTGAGCACGGGGCACTCCTTAGTACCTGTGGGAGCGAGAGCGCGGCACTCGTTAACATCCCCTTCGTCAGAGCAGGAGGGCCAGACATCCTTCGAGAGCCTCCGCTGCTTCCTGTGTGGCAGGGGTACTCAGAACATTTCCCCGAGGTCTGAATTCCATAACAGACATGATAAAATTGTCCCCTTGGCAGATTTCGCCGATCGAGGAGGGAGTTTAAAATGTATAAATTCAGAGTTCATCAATCGGGTATCCCTGCTATAGCGCAATGCACTGCGCGCCTAAATCGTTTAAGATGGCAAAAAACCAATATGGACATAAGAAAACGGATTTCTCATGTACACCAGCAGACAGGAGGTCAGACTATGCAGTACCTGAGGATATGGCAGATCAGTGCCAGGTTAGTACACAGAATTCATTTTCATTACACAACATTTCTTTCACTGTGCACACTGCAAGCTCAGTTGGTGCAGCTGGCCTTGGAGACAGACAAGTGCAGTAATGACTGGAAAGACTCTCTGAGGCAATTCAACACTTCAAGTCACCAGGTTCAGCTGTTTTAAAGGTGAGTCAAGTTTTATTTTATTGGCACTAGCCTGTACTGTTAGTACAGCCATAAACCGGGAGATCTAGAGAGAAATTTATACACTAAACTCACCTGTTCCAAGCTGCTTTCCTACGCGTCATAGGCACTGTTGCAATCTGTGGTGCCAAAGGAGTAAGACATATTGTGGAAATACAGGTGACGTGTCTTTTGCTTTCTGTGTTGAGCTGCCGCCCAGTGATGATGTGAAGTGTGTTAAGTTGTTTTAAAACTGGGACCTTTATCACAAAGCGGGGCTCTTTTCTGTGCCAGCCAAGACTGGAAGCGGGGTAATAATGAGGGTATTTTCAGAGATCTAGAGAAATGGACCTCATGCTCAGTTCCTGGGGGGTCTGGGGGGGGTCGTGTTAGATAACTTGTAAGATAAGTTGTCAGATTTAAGTTAGTCTGTGTTAAATATAAGTGAAAAAGTATAAAGTCCAATTAAACTGGGACACCTTAACTCTGACAAGTTATCTGGCTAACCAACAAATCTCGCTTTGTGATACAGGTCCCAATCGCTTATCCTCAACAGCAGTGTTGATACCCCTCTCCCCGCCCCCATGAAAATATTGAGGCAGGCTGTTAGATTTCTTCTGGTACTGACACTGCATAAACCAAACTGGTGAAACGCAGGTAGGGATTTGCACGAGGGAGCGTGTTACGTGGGAAAATGTGAGAGAAGCCCGGCATGTACTGACATGGCTCTCGTGGGCCGAACATGACCCCAGACCCGGAGAGGCCCAAAACCGCAGCTTCATTCACGTATATCCAACTGAGAAACACCAGGCCAAAGCTCAATTTTAGGTTGTTTTCGAAAGGTTAATCAGCATCGGGGGGGTAGAGTGGGATGGGGGGGGGGGGGGGGGCTCAGACCCATCGCTGCGTGCCACAAACCCGCGAAGAGGAGCCAGGACAGCGCGAGGCTGCCACCAGCACTGACTTATCGTCCACGTAAATCAGGATGCTGACAGGCTAACAAAGGCATCCTTCTTTCGTGATAAACAATAGCATTCCTGCAGACATGTAATGAGATAATTTAAAAAAGCACGGGGAAAATGCCGTCTATTCTTAGCATGCATTCCACCAAATGATGAAAGGGACATCGGCTGTGTGGTAAGAGACGGGGGATGCATGCAACTATATGCTTTAGATTAAAGCTTATGCTTTCTAGAATATAATCCTGCACAGATGATGAAGGCCTCTTCAGGCAGGCCTACTTAAAAAAGGACCTCTGCAAAGCTTGTTTCCTGCGTGATCTTTCCATTTGCCACACTCTGCGGTCTGAGACATTGTTTTATTTATGTGTTTGGAGTCAGTCAACAAAGAGGGGTGGGGGGGGGGGGGGGGTGGGGAAGGTGATAATGGGCCTGGATGGTGCAGCCTGGCGAACGGAGCGGGACTTGTTTTTTCACCCTCCCATGGACCAAAACAAACTGAATCATTACCGCCCCCCACCTAAAGCCACAACACCCAGCAGGCTGCCATCACAGGCTTTCCCGTTGGTCATTAATCAGCAAAGTGGACCGGATCGGGCTGGTCGGCCTCCCTTCATGGAAAAAGTGACGCGCAGGGGTGAGTAACAGTGGTGAGTAACAGTGGTGAGTAACAGTGGTAGAATACACAGCAGCTAGTCCCGGTCGACACGTGTGTTTGTGTACAGTATGCATTCAGGTTTCTGGTGGCCTTGCGAGGGAGATGAAAACGTCCCCTTTGAAAGAGCAGCTGGCGATAACCAGATGCTGTGGGAATTTTTTTGAAGCTTAATTCTCTGCTTTTTAATAGGGCAACGGCCCCCAAAACTTGCAGCCTGTTATTACTCAGCGTCTGTATTCGGTTTTACTGTGGCAAGGGGGCTGGGGGTTGGGAGTCATTAATCGCATTAATCTGAGAGTCAATGGGAATTCCCTGCAAAGGCAGAAATGCAAGAAGCAGGCGTGTGCATATACACTGGGGAGATTGGGAGGCAGCGGGTGGTGGCTAGGGACCCCCCCCACCCCCCCCTTAACATATAAAAATATTAGTGCTGGGCGTAAAAATGGGATGACAGCGGGGGCAGCGGAACCACAGACATTTCCGCGGCCGAAGCCCTGCTCCCTCCGCGTATGCCGGCACACTTATCAGCAGCGCAGGGAGGGCCTCCTTGTGAAATAACACGCCCCCCCCAGACCCCCCAGGAACTGAGCATGAGGTCCATTACTCTGGATCTCTGAAAATACCCTCATTATTACCCTGCTTCCAGTCTTAGAAAACTGGAGCCGGGGATAGCAGGTCCAGTATTATGCTCGATGTTTTAAATGTCTTATTGGGAATGTGGACTTGGTGGCCCATCACCTGGCTTGTCCATGCAACCCCCGCAATGACCCAAGTACAACAGTAATGCCCATGTCCCTCTCCATGGAGAAAGTTTCAGGGGAAACACTTGTATGAATTAAGGGGTGAATAAGAGGGAGTTTCAAGTTGGCCAGAACACTAATCACTACTTTCGAATGCATTGTTACCATAATCTGAGGAGACGCGCCAATATCTCCAGCCCAGTTCCTGAACATGTGCTGGAATTGACATTCTGAGTGCTTCACATGACTCCTGGGCAACAAACGGCTGTTTTTTTTCTTTTGCCAAATTAGCGGCTAGACTTTAAATAATCACACACACAAACACCACTAAAAGATTAAGGCTTTTGTATACACAAAGTCTGGCAATCCATTAAGACAACTAATCTGGATTTCACTTGTATAACATTATAATGGCACTTTGATTAATTCGGTTTTAAGCTCACTTAAAAAACAGCCAGCTATTATTTTGTGTCCTGAATTCGGTATAAAGGAACAAACCGACAGTCCAGATCGTGGTGTTCTGGGCAATGAGGGTTTGCTCCTATTTAAAAAGCGACAGAAATGGTCCTTAATCTGAAGCATGTTGCCTACTCCCCTAAGGTCCCAACAACAGTTTTATGACAGATCATCTCCGTGCGGGAAAATCCCACACGCTTCAGCGTGGATACGGAACACGTTGGGGCGGCACGCAGGGAGGCTACTGCTCACCTTCATGACTCGTCTAGATCCACGGTCATTCTGTTAATCCCAAATCAGAAGGTTGGAAACTGAGTACCGCGGGGAGCAGTTTCACATTGGAGAACAGTCAGTGGGTAGGGGGGGGGGCAGTGGTGTCTGGCCTGGCGGGGGTGGGCTGGCACTGTGCCATCTTATCTGCTTCCACAGCAAGCGTCCAGGCAAGGAAAGTGAGGGTGTGACTCATGTCTCTTCTTTGAGCCACAGGAAATGACCAAACACCCCCCTTTTCCCACTGTGCAGTGCCTTTGGGGGGGGGGGGAAAGTCCAAATCATTCCTTGGCAGGGACACGACTGTTCTGATAATGAGGACAGAATCGTGTAATAATCAGTTACTGCAGACTTGGCCTCTCTTCTGAGGGCCCAAATTAAAAATAATTCTAGACACGCAGCTCTGGGAGAATGGGCTATAGAAGCCAGTTAGTGCATATTGTACAAAGCTGTTGGGTCAGTTCTCTGGGCCCTAAAATACAAGGTACAGGGAAAGGGAACATCTTGAAAGGATAAGGCGGATCGCTCTGAATTAATACACCCTGAGTTTGGCAAGCCAGGACACTGCTTTGAATTGGGGAAACATTAAAAATGTCCCTGTCAACAAGGAAGCATCTCACAAACTCATTCTGATGGGAGACTGAGAAAAGCAGCATGAAGAAGAAGAAAAGCACGCATAATCTGATGGAAAGGAAAGTCAGGTACTCAGTGTTCAGCCTGGAATGCCAGGTTTAACCAGTAAATCTGACTCCAGCTGTGGTTCTGTGGCGTCTCACCAGCTGTTCATGGGACAGAGCTATAATCGTCTGTTGAGCTGCGCATTTGGTAATTACAGCTTGGCTGTTTGTAAGCCTGTCAGGTTACAAATACATGGATGAGTGACCCATCTCTCTTCCCTGTTGTACTAAGGCCAGTAAATGTCTTTGTCTCTGCAGACTGAGAGAACAATCAACTGGCGGCTGCTTCGGTGAGTCTGGTCAAAGGTCGGACACGCCTACAGTATACACTTTGGGGTGGGGGCCGATGGATATCTGTCACAAGGCATGCTAAGCCACATGCATGGGTGGTTGCATGGAGAACGCCAAACTATGAGCGAAGTTCTTTGGAAAGACCTTGGTAGGCCAGAGTTCAGGATATATTACTGAGCACTTTGCCCCCTTTATTCGAGCACATTTTTCCCCTTTCGTTCCCCATCTGCCACTGGCCTGGCAGCCCAACTGCCTGCACTGGAGCTTGCAGAGCTGCAGTTGAACAGGTACCAGCAGGGTCCTGCAGAATCATAATTCATAAGTCTTCTTCACAGTGGGAATTTTGGTAA